AAAAAATAAAATAAAATGGGTATAATTATTGTACCTCTAGTACCTACCACCTAGTGTTGTGAGGCTTAAATGAATTAAGTACTTAGAGCAATGCACAGCACCTAGTAAGTGCTTTACAGATGTTAGTTGATAGTTTTAATATCTATTACTGGTATGGCTGTGGTGCAGCGCCAGCCTTAGTGACTGAAAAGCTCACACCCAGACAGAACATCTGCACCCTGGAATGCCCGATCTCTGCTCAGAGTTGATCCAGGCCCTGACCCACCCCCAGTATCTCTCTAGGGGAATAGCAAATGGTCTCGAACACTTTAAACCTGTCAATCCACCCTCACAAGTGTGGCTTCCCACTCACCATAATCAAATGGGGGTGGGTGGTATGAATTGCTCCAATTTACAGAAGGGGAAACTGAGGTTCCAAGGAGTGAAAGGCTCCTGCAGCAACTGAATTTCAGTCCTGAACTATGTTACTTAGACCAACTGTGTGACCTGGCTGGGCAAAGACATCGACTCTCAGAACCTCGGTTTCTTTTACTGTAAAATTGGGATAATAATTACACTCACTTCAGAGAGCTGTGGCCAGTGGGTAAAACACTTAACACTTTTCCTGGCATAAACAACCAATAAATTTTAGTTATTTCAAGCTTGCATCTGACATTTTAGCTCCGGGATAGTGTTGACATGGGGAGGAGATGTGAGACAAGACCAGAACCTTCCATCCTTCTATTATTTCAAGCAGAAGAGAAGGGTTCAGTGTCTTTCCTGAGGCCTGGAACTAATTAATTGTCCTGGTTCTGGCTTGTGGTCCTCCATGGCCTTGGGGCCACCATCAATCAGGCACAGCAGGTATTCAGCTGAGTGAGGGAAGTCTTGCAAGTCATTGGAACTAAACTGCTCATTAACCTCCACGCACAGGCTGCAGAGAAAGTGCCTGGGAGCCAGAAACACAGGCACAGACTAGGCCACCCAGCTGCCTAGGTGGCAGGGACAAAGCCTCTCAAATCTTTCTGGCTCAGGGGCACCTCCTCTCCTTTGCCCAGATTGAGACCCTCCAGAGCCCACCTATATCTCCCATCTCCCACCAACCATTTCCCAGGAGCAGCGCTAAACATGTGATATTTGTTGTCTCGTTTAATCCTCAGCATAGTCTCATGAATCAAACACTCTACCAATTATATAGATGAAGCACCAGAATCTCAGATAGGTTAAGTGACTTGCCCAAAGTCACACGGTAGTAAGTGTGGAGCCAAGAGCCAGAGCCAGACTTTGGAATCTGGGGCCCATGATCTGAATGGCAATGCCAACTGGCCTCCAGGAAAGATGGATTGCAGTGAAAAGTAATAGCAATGAGTGCATCCTTATAACGCCAAGGTCAAGGGTTCGGTTCCCTGTACTGGCCAGCTGCAAAAAAAAAAAAAAAAAGTGATAGCAATGCAATGAATCAATGATTCTCAACCAGGGGAGTCTTGTCCCCAGGGGACATTTGGCAATGTCCAACTGGGATCTGCTACTGGTGTCTACTGGCTAGAGGCAAGAGATTCTTCTCAACATCCCACAATGCACAGGATGGACCCCCCACAATGAAAAATTATCCAGCCCCAAATGTCAATAGTGCTGAGGTTAAGAAGCCCTGCTACAAATGTAGCTAAGTGCATGGAGGGGCACCCTGGCCTGGTTTATAGACGGAACAATGAGGAAAGCTTTCATGAAGAAGACCGAGGTTGGAAAGCAATTTATCCACTTCCATTTTACAGATGTGCTGAGAGAAGTTATGTAACTTGCTAAGGGACAGACTCAAACTCAGGTAATAGTTACTAAACGCTGTCTTTGTGGCAGGCGTAGTGCCTGGGAGGCCACCAGTTCACACATTTCCCAGTCATTCATTCATTCATACGTTGCTTTGCTTACTCACAGCCCTTGGAGGCAGGAATTAACCATCCCCACTTTGCAGTTGCAGAAACTGAGGCTCAGAGAGATGTGATACATGCACAAAGTCACACAGCTAGAAAGGGGCACTGCTGGGATTTGAACCTGGGTCTCCTGTCCTTCCCAAGGTCACACTTTCAGAACAGCAAACAAAAGGTGCTAACAATTCAGGGAGCCTGCCATCCTCACGCAGTTCTGCCCCAGCCAGGAGCATCTTGTATGCATAGGCAGGCAACCTCAGGTTTGAGTTTACATCCTGGCCATAAACCACTTAGTAGCTGTGTGACCTTGGACAAGTCACTGCACCTCTTGGGGGCTCCATTTGCTCATCTATAAAATGGAGATCCTAGTAGTTCCCATTTCATAAAATTGTTGTGAGTATTCAATAACTTGGCATAAAATATGTTAAATGTTTAGCACGAGTAAAACTTCAGTGCATGTTTTTCTTGGGGGCATTCTGGGAAACAAGGTTGGGACTCGGATGGGGGACATTTGTTGAGGGCCTCAAATGCCATGCTAAGGTTTGGGACCCTCAGCTCAACATGCAGCAGAAGTCCAAGGTCACCAGTCAGCTGATGTGAAGCAGTCAGCCACACGGATCCTGCATGCATGGTGCTGGGGTGCTATCAGTGCTGGGGTGCTTTTTCCTCCCTCCTGAAGTGAGCCCTGGGTAAAGCTCCCCATTGTGCATTTTATCCATCTCCCAAGAGACTCCAGGTGGTCCTGGTAAGGCCCTGTTGGGGGCGAGGCAGGTATGGCCTATGCAGGTGACTTGAGCTCCAGGTAAGGGTGGGGTTCGCCAAAGGGGGTGCTCTCACCCTTGGCTGGGACCCTCTTCTCAGAGGCCTACAAGTTCCAGAGGAGGTCCCATTCCTAAGCCCTGCCTTAGCTTCCAGGAGCTGCCTGCCACATGCTCACACACACACACACACACACACACACACACACACACACACGCATGCACACAGAGAGGTCTACACATGCTCACCCATCCACACTCGCCCACTTTCAGAATTCACAAATTCCCAGCACTCACCCCACACACGTCCTCACTCACCCTGACCCCCACTCTCTTTCTCCCCCCCTCCCCCCCCCCCACCCAACCTCTGGCATCTGCTTGGGGCTAGGGACCTGCAGGCTTTACTTGACATTGGCATTTGTGCTTCCAAAACATGCCCAACAATAACTGTTTGTCTAAACAATCTGGGATTGTTGCTCCTGGGCGTATGTTGCTGGTTCTAGGGCTGCAACCGGACAGCTGGGACTGCCCTGGACCCAGCTCTACCCGAAGGCATGCGTAAATGTGAGTCCCAGCCTT